CAACAAAGTGCTGATGGTGTCTTTGCCAAGGTATTTATATTAGTTGTGAGTTGAAGGTCTAACATCTGCAGCCAGGAACTGTCTTGGTTCATGTCCATGCCTTCAGGTAGACATTGGACACTTTGAAATACCAGTAAAGTGTCTTAAGATATTTTGAAAGAGGAAACATAATGTTTGGAATACATGTAGCATTTGCAATGCCTGGAGGTTCTGACTTTATAACAAAGGGCTGACATAACTCAATTCATTTAAAAGAAAAGGCAACCTGATTGAAATAATAAAATCTGCTATTAGAAAATTAAGTCTGAAAGACTGTTAGAGAAAAATGTGAAATTCTATCAATTTAAGGTTAGAGCAGTGTTGAAGAGGCTTGAGGGCTTAATCTCTTCTCATTTTCACTTTACATCAATAGGCTTTTGACTTCAGTGGGATTATAAGAATGTAATTGAGAAGAGAATCAGATACATTAATTTTTTTGCAAACTTAGAATGAACACAGTCAAATGAAAAATGAATGGCCAAGTTAAAAGTCTGTTTTGGGCTTGGGTGAAGCTCACACTGATGTTTTGAAGGTCAGAAGGAAATATTTAAAGGACCATGCCATTTATGTCTGCAACAGAATGAATGCTTTTTTTTCTTGCTTTTATTTGAATGAGAATAATTGCATTTTCTTCAGATAACAGAATATAAAGGACAGCAGTAGCTACCTTGTCACCAAACTATCCCAGACCTGATGAGGCCAGTTCCTGGTCCTTAGATATTTGTATAGCTCCAGCACCTTGAACTGCATATTCATTGTTCAGTACTGGAGGAAGTAGTATATGGAACCTGTAAAACTAAAGATACAGCATAATGTAGGCATATGGAACCAACAGCAGAAGTAAATCTCCTGCCTTTGAAACTGCTTATTTAGGCCAGAGGATACCAGCTCCCTGACTGGCTCTCTATGCAGCTTTGAATAATAGAAGGGTGAAACAGCATAGCCTTCTTTCTGCACTGAGACGCATAAAACCATTTTTCATTGAAAGAGAAATCATTCAATGAAGATTTGCCAGGTTTTGATAAGCCAAAAGAATCCGTATCTGATTTCAAGAACAAAGCAAAAGAAGATGGTGCTTCTCAGGGCTGCAGTTCTTGCTTAACCTACTGACAACAATTCAGATACCTTGTTACAGTCTTCTTTGTGTCTAGTCTTTGGACTGGTCAAGAGAAATCTGTGTAATGCAACCCATGCTGGACTGTGGTTTTACTCATTATTTTCTCCAGGTGAGGTGCTGGATAGTAAATGCAGTGGGCAGTAAGTTGGATGATGATGAAGAAAGAATGAAATAAGCAATGCAGATCAAAGGGATGCATTCTGCCCTTGTGACACATGTTTCATCCCTCACAGCATTATAAAGTAGGTGCGAGAAACACCGTGTAACAAATAAAAGAAGACATAAGCAAGGCACACCCTATTGATCAAAAAGGCACATGAACAAGCACAGCACCAGCATCAAATACTGCACCACAGTGAAAAAAGAGGTGATTAAGTGGTAGTTAAAGAGGGAACCAGTGTATGAAGCACTGTTCTGTACTGTGCACGAGGCTTCTATGACAGATATTCAATGAGTTGTTAATGAGGCACATTCAGGCATTCTGCCTGGCACAAAAAGAGAATAAATACTTCCACACCCGAGAGAAATTTAAATGTGGAACATTATGCATTACAGTAAGGAAAAGCAATGGATAAACAGACTACTGTAGGGAGCAGGCAGTGACCTATTGCAGACTGGAGGAATGATTTAGGAGGATTGTACTCATCAGCTAAGAAAACTCAACATCCATTTGTGCTGTTAGGTGCTATCCATTACAATCTATCTTAACAACAGTCCCAAGCCAAGCCTGACAGTAAAACAAGCCTGTTATTTGGTATCTTGAAAGGGAAATACGGTAATTATAATCACCCCATTCCACTGCCATCTATTACTGTCAGGGACTGTGTCTTAGGCCCTCTCTACACATTATAACTATTACACAAGTATATCTTCAATTATGCAATACATTTAGACTGGTTACATATGCAAATTAACTATGCTGCCTTAGAAAGGCCCAATCAACTATAAAGTTATTGCTTGAAAATGTGTAATAACTTCATAGCTGGTTTCAGTCTAGCTTTAATTTACATGTGCAGGCAGTCTTCAAGGAGACCACAGCTGCTGCAGTCTCCCAGGCACTGGGGAGCACAGTGCACACCTTGGGGCTGGGATATTGCAGCCAATGTAGTTTCCCAGCTGCAGGAGTGTGGGGGAGCTTCATGACCCCCCTGTGGCTGGGATACATCAGCAGCACCCCACAGCTGTGGGTGCTGGGAATCCTGCAGCTGATAGGGCTCTCAGTCTCTTGCCTGTGTGGTACAGCTGGGACCAAGGACTCCGTCAGGCACAGGACTCTTGGTCCCAGCTCCAACTCTAATTCAGGCAATAACTTTAATTCACTGACTGCATATGCTTGCACAGTTTCCCATAATCTGTTCCTTGGTGCAAAATCCCCCCCATGGGAAGAGGGAGTGAGTTCCACAGGCCTTCATTACAGGGGAGGGTGGGATTTGCAGGAGCATTCATAGTAGAACAAATTCATCATACTTTGTAATACCATCAAGTGTAATCTTATCAGACTTATGCCAATGCTGAACTTCTCAGAAAAATCTGAATCCTGTGCTTGATGGGGCCCTTGGTCTCAGCTGCCAATGGCTCCCATGGCTGGGAGTCCGCACAGCAAAGGGGGCTCCCATCCATGGGAGCTTGCTTCTTGTCAACACAGGGAGAGCTCAGGATCAGGCTCCCCCCTATACCAGCAAGAAGCCATGATTGGATCTAATGCATGATTGTGTGGATCACGCATTAAATTCAATTGTACCCTTACCTGCACATATAGAGGGGGCCTTATTCTGTGTTGCTGCAGTGTCTGGCACAATGGGGCCCTGGTCTCAGTTGACCCCAGGGCACTACTGTAATAGAAATGAAAAGCAATAATGAAATGTGCAAAACTGTTCTAAATTCTGTTGACTTTTATGTTGCTATTTTCAAAATGCATGTGCTAGAATGACACACTGAATTAAAATTGGATTTTTCTGAGAAGTTCAGCATTGGCATAAGTCTGATAAGATTACACTTGATGGTATTACAAAGTATGATGAATTTGTTCAACTATGAATGCTCCTACAAATCCAACCCTCCCCTGTAATGAAGGCCTGTGGAACTCACCCCCTCTTCCCATGGGGGGATTTTGCACCAAGGAACAGATTATGAGAAACTGTGCACGCATATGCAGTCAGTGAATTAGAGTTGTTGCCAGATCAGTCCCAGTCTTTGCTTCTCTGTGCCTGGTAGAGACTATAGGCAGACAAGGTTCTTTGGGTAAAAGTGATATTTTTTATTAGGCCAAATAAATATTTAGAAAAATTGTTCTTTGCAAGCTTTTGGGAAGAAACGCCCTTCTTCACGTATAGGGAGAGTCTGCTGCTGATGTGTTCTCCATGGCGGAAGAAAAGCCAGTATGCAAAATACAGGTCTGTGAAACTGCAAATGCGTAGCAGTGAAGATCAGAGGGAATGGGAGACAATAGATGTAAGACATATAGGCGGGGGAAAGAGGGGAACGTTGAGCTAGTGATAGAATATAGCTGCTAAAATGCAGACAGGTGATCTGGGTTTATCAGATGGCAGGCGGTTTATAATGTGCCATAAATCCGATGTCTATATTTAGTCCATGCTTTTTTGTATCCAGTAGATTTATGAAGTGAAGTTTGTAGACTTGTCTTCAAAAGGTGTTTTGTAAATTCCCTTTGAGGATTAGAACTGAGAAATTGGAGAGACAGTGGTTTTCTTGTGAGAAGTGTGCACCCACAGGTAATTGGGTATTTTTGTCTTTGATAGCTTTTCAGTGTGTGTTCATTCTGGTACGCAGTTGTTGTTTTGTTTCACCTACATATTTTCCATCAGGGCATTTGGTGCACTGGATGAGATATATTACATTTCTGGAGGTGCAGGTGTAAGATCCAGGAATTGTGATGGGTCTGTTGTGGGGTGTCATTATTGTGGGGGTGGTGGAGATAATGTTGGCTGGTTTTACATGTTTTATCCTGGCATGTTCTGGATCCATTCGGTGTGCTTTGGGCCCAAGGAAGTTTACTTCTGCTGACGAGGTTGGCAAGGTTCAGTGCTTGTTTGAAGTTTAGGATGGGTGGTTCCAGAAAGATCTCTTTAAGAACTGGGTCTTCTTCTAGTATGGGTTACAGTTGTTTGAGGATTTTCCATATAGGTTCCAGGGAAGAAAGGTACGTCATAACTAATGGTGTGCGATCCATGGGAATTTTCTTTTTGTACTGTAGCAATTCTTCACGTGGTATCTAGGTGGCTCTTGCAAAAGTGCAATCTATCTCTCTAGAGGAGTGTTCTTGTTGGGTGAATGCTCTTTTGAAATTTGGAATGTGACGATCGTGGGTATTCTCCTCAATGCAAATTCCGCGGTATCGGAGTGCTTGGCTATAGAATACAGCTTTCTTGGTGTGTTTAGGGTGATTGCTGGTTCTGTGCAGATATGTATGTTGGTCCATGGGGTTCTTGTATGTGGTGGTTTGTATTTTACCATTCTGGATATTGATCATAGTGTCTAAAAAGGAAATGTTGGTGCTGGAGTATTCAAGAGAATCTGATGGAGAAGTGATGATTATTGAATTTGTGATGGAAATTAATTAGAGACTGCAGGTTTTCAGTCCAAATTATAAAGATGTCATCATTCAGAGATTATTGAATTCTTCCCTGCTCTGTGCAAAGAGGAAGAAGTCCTTGATACAGAGGCCCTCTGCCTGTCCCTCAACTGCTCTTCTTTGGATGCTGGGTGAAAGTTATCCTTCTCTGGATCCTGGGTGAAAGATATCCCAGTGATTTAGAAGATAAGATTCACAATCTAACAACTAATGACATTTACAATTACCTTCATTTCTCTCTCATTTTTGTAGCTGCAGATGGAATGGTGTGTAACAAATTATGCTCCAGTGATGGCTGTTGGGGACCAGGACCAGACCAGTGCCTCTCCTGCAAGCGTTTCATCAGAGGAAGGACCTGTATAGAGTCTTGTAACCTTTATGATGGGTAAGGCATCACTTTCACTTAAATTTTTGCTAAGCAGAATTGATTATGTAGACAGATTCTGATATTTATGAAAGAAATCAGAATTGCTCATTAGCAGTACCTGGCTATCAACCCATTTTATAAAAAAAAGATGCTTTAAAAAATCCTTACCATATCCTCTGCTCAAAACTTTTCTAAATAAATTATTTTTGACCAAAGATCCTTTATTTCCTGCTCTAATGACAAACACCCCTTATTTTTCCCTCTAATGAGATAACTGCGATACAGACAATGACACTTAAACATATAGGGATTGTCCCCATGAGTGCACACGTGCAGTTTGCAGTGCCACAGACCCATCTGCATTGCCGCAAACTGTACACAACACACGTGGACATGTTCGCTGTGCTGCTGATTAGCAGCACACTGGGTTTTTTGATACCAGGAGATCCCAGTGTGAAAAATAAAGTGCCAAAAAAAATGTTGTGGTTCACATGGCTGCAGCATGCGCTGCCCAAAACAGGGGCCTGGCCAGCTAGAGCCACACTTCAGATGCCTGCCAGGCTCTGCATGCTCAGATCACTGCTGCTGCAGCCTCAGTAGGCTCCCAGCATCCCAGGTGCTGGCCGCAGCCTATTCTATCCCACCCAGGGTAATTTGCCTCATGACAGAGCGGGCATGAAGGGGTGTGCCTAAGGACAACTAGCAGGGACACAAATATGCTGCTGCTATTTTTCCCCAGGGAAACGCATGTTCCTGCTCATGAGGATGCACACACAGGGCACATCCAGATGAGCATGGATATTAGTTTCCCCAGGTGCAAGTAGTAGCGGCACACCTTGGCCTGCTGCTGCTTGTCCCCATGGAACACCAGTGCCACTTGGGCTCTGGCATACAGCAGGTACCCTGAGTGGGGTAGGGGAAGCTGGGGCCAGCAGCTGTGCTGGCTCTAGAAGGCTTACCTAGGGATCTGGCAGCAACCTGGGGCAGGAAGCAAGCTGGCAGCTGGCAAGCTGGCTCTGGCTGGCCAGGCTCCAGTTTTGGGCAACACACACTACTGCCATGAGTGCCATCTTGCTTTTTTTTTTTGGCATAGGTTTTTTTTACCCTCCACGCCGCAAGCTAGCAGTGCAGGGAACACCTGCATGTGTGGTGTGCATGTCTTCTTTCTCCTGAATGCAGCCATAATGTCCTTGAGTGGAATTTCATGGAACCGGAAAGTGAGTTCATAGATTCATAGATTTATAGATGCTAGGGTTGGAAGAGACCTCAATAGATCATCAAGTCCGACCCCCTGCATAGGCAGGAAAGAGCGCTGGGGTTAGATGACCCCAGCCAGATGCCTATCTAACCTCCTCTTCAAGACCCCAGGGTAGGGGAGAGCACCACCTCCCTTGGGAGCCC